CGACCAAATTAGCAATTCACATATACGGATTTCTTCCATTTGAATATACATAAATTCTTACCGAGTTCTTTTGCGTGTAAATGGAAAATCCCTTGGATATTCGTCCCATTTCTGCTTTGAATGAGCCCTTCTCACTATGAAAGAGTAGCGGTGTTCGACTTGGCGGCGCAACCGCTTCTCGATCCTCTTCAAATGTGAGTTAAATAGTTATCTATAGCCCAAATATTCAATTGATGCACTGAGAGGATGGTTCGAAAGAAGAAAAGTATGCCTACGCCATCCTACTAAAGAGAGACTTTGCGCGCTAGCCACGAGGACTGATTGAGATCCCAGAAGGAGAGGACTAACGAATTCTATAACATTATACAGCATTTGATAGCGTTCGAAAATGCTCTTCAGCCGCGATTGGCTCGCCATCGGGACAGTCAAACTGCTAGCCAATCAGGGGTGCCGACGCAACCTCCTCGCCACAGCAAACGCTGCCAATTCAGCCCCAGGGCTCCTTCCTCCTTTCTCTCCATTCAGTTCATGACCGGCTTATGGTAGCAAGACCATCCTGTACAAACAGAAACAATGGCCGCTTTACGAGTTCCATGTCCCATAAAGCCGTCAGCGATTTCGCAAAGGAGCCCCGAAACCTCTTTCCCCCCCACTGTGGTGTAACATAACAAGACCAAATCATACTCGCCTCCTTTCCATGAGTCATGGCATCGTATGGTCTTCACCACCGTGGCCTAACCGCGTATGTTCACTTGGCTGATGGTCATTGGAACGACCAGGCTCTATCCCAGTCGTATCTGAACAACTCCTATGGTAGTGGTATAAACACCTTTTATTATGCTCATATACATGGCAATATAGAAATACCTTTGTCCAATACGGTGCCGCCTTTTCCTCCTTCACTCTTGACCACTTTGCCCAATCGAGCACCAAGCGTTATCTCTCATCCTTTCTTGGACGATTCAAACCCATATACACCACCAGTGCCGCGGAATATCCTCATTCACCGCTTACCTATACAGCCTAGCCCGTCATTCGTGTCGGCATCCGTAGCTGCCCCGAATACGACAGCGATTACTGCCTCATCCGAAATTCATGCGCTGCCGATACCTCAACGGGCAAAGTTCCCCTGCGCTTCATGCGGAAAAATGTGCACCAGTCGGCCGCGAGCCCACACTTGCCTACTCAACCACATTGGCGTCAAGCCGTTCGCTTGTAAGGGTGTTTGTGGAGTAGTGAATTGGTGAGTTTCATAGCCGCTTTCGAAATAATCGTATTGAATTTGATCCCTTTGGGATCCAATAGCCCAAAGAGTTATGCGTCAAAGGCACACCTCAAGCGCCACTGTACTCCAATAGAAGGGAAAGTGACTACTTGTTCTAATTGGTACGTATTCGATCTTCTTTGGAGCTAGGAGCAGCTGGTTGACGTTGTGCCTTGATAGCGGTGAGATACGATCCAGACAGAACCTTGCAAGGCACCGAAAAAGTTGTATCCAATAAGCAGCTGATTCGTACTTGAGTAATACGCGATCGTCACGTCACAACTTCCTTTTTGTGCTCTAGCCTACCTACTTTATGCATGTAAATTATTCGTCGATTATACCATTATGCGTCAAACCCTAAATCCTTGAAATTGTTCGGGTGTAAGGGATTTGACATGCTATGAAGCACTTCTATTCGTTGAGGATGCGCTGTGATTGGAAATAACGAGAGAGGCGATGAACGAGGGCGACGCGGTGCGGTTGGGTCCAAAGGTCCGAGAAGACGTCCCCATTTGAACCACCGCATCACCTGGGTCCTAACAGATGATCCTATCGTAACTTGATATCAAAATAATTTTCTGATGAACCAATGTCTCGCTACCAGACCCGCAGAAGCTACTTGTGGCTTCATTCATTGAATGCATGAGCACTGCATAATGGCCCCATTTTTCAAGGCCCGTTTATCCTCTCGAGCTCTTCTTGATACAAATGTTCGATCTAGGTCCCTTCGAAATGTCTCTTTGAGGCAGTTCGCTCTCGATGCGGGTCTGTTGCAAGAGGCTGGTAGCTTTTGAGGGTCTATTTGATCGAGATAATCCATCTATTACTTTGATAATGCTGATAGTACCTGGTCCCGACACAACGGCATGCTGAGGAGTAGAGAAGGTCAGGGAACTTGGTCAGATTTTTGATGTTTGGTGCACGGCCTTTGCTTTCTATCCAATTGCATCTTCGATGAACTGAAACAGTATGTATCTAATCCACTCGGCTGGTCACATCTCAGGTGACGGTTTTTTGCTCCTCTCATACGAATGCAGACTTTGGCCCAAGGCAGTGTCGAAGGCTGGGGACCAGCTCGGGACCGAGCAGCACATTCAGTATTGCTCCTGTTCTTTTTTCTCCAAAAACCATCCGCACCGAAACAATCGAAACTATCTCAACTGTGAAGGGGGTCAACCCAGGAGATTCTGGGTCCTGGCTTCCAGTATAAAGCCCATCGCTCGGACGAGCATCGGTCATTGAGGGTTCCCTTCCAACTCCCCCATCCCCTCGTCACGTAGAGGACACACCACACTAACCACATTTCCTTCAACGATGACAGCTTATAACGTTCATTGCAATGATTTGACAGCTCACGCTGATCAAGGCTTCTGGAACGAGTCCATAACCCAACCTTATCCAAACGACACCATTGATAGTATAACCCCATTTTATTGTCTTGATGCCCAGAGTAATATACGCGTCGCATCTTTCCCAATCACAACACCCCCCTTTCTCCTCTCTCATCCTTCCTCGATTCCCTTGCATGTCATGTCCGATCCACAACACAGCTTTGACCCTTGTTCTATTCCGAATGATTCGAACCATCATCATTCAATGATGGCAAGGAGCGTCCCCGGCTATTACCTACCTCCACAGTCGGCTTCTTCGTCGTCCATGTCGGCACCTACAAACACCTCATCGACGGCATCGATTACGCCTCCACTTGCTGCTTCTGTGTCCAAATTTACCTGTCCTTCCTGTGATAAGGTGTTCTCTACTTGGCCAGAAGCCCACACATGCCTCCTGAACCACATGGGTACCAAAACATTTCCTTGTCATGGTGCCTGTGGAATAGATGACTGGTGAGTACTGTTCCCACTCTTCAAGTGACTGTAACCGTATTTAGTTCTTTTTGTGATCGATAGCCCCAAGAGTTACGCTACCAAGGCACACCTCAAGCGTCATTGCACTCCGTTGGAGGAAAGAGTGGCATTATGTCCAAGCTGGTATGTATTTATCTATATTCGGAGTCAAGAACAGCTGGTTGATCATGTGCCTGGGCAGCGGTGAGATACGATCTAAACAAAACCTAGCCAGGCACCTCAAAAGATGCAACCAGCAGCCACCTGATTTATAGGTAGAATATAAGGATACCTTGAATCATATCTATACTCCTTTCTTGCTCCAACCTGCCCACCCCGTTGCTGCAGATTAGTTGTGAATTATACCGGCATGTACGCATCAGTGCTAAGCTGTTGGAATCCTTGGGATTCATGAGAAACAATGGTAGATATAAGTTCCGAACCATTGATCGCGTGCAGTCTAGGCAGAGGCGAGGCCACTTCAACATGTTGATGGCAGCGGGGATGAAGCGCTTCCTGCTGGTGATAGATATCCCATAAATCTATTTACTGTATGAAAGATCATTCTTCCTTGAGAAGAATGGTAGCTATTCCAAAGAGTCGACGGTCGAGGAAGACGGGCGCAGTCGGGTTCAAGTGGTATCGGCGGTAAAGACGACCATAGACCCAGCCTGGCATACCCTCTCGCACGCCACTTACATACCCATATATTCTATACAACGGTCAATACAAGGCAAGTTTCACCGCTTTACGCAGTATCCAAACACTGAGATGGCCTTCACGTTTATTCACGAATGGGTTTGCTCAGAACGATGGGAGACACGCGCATCCGGCTATTGGAGTAGCCGATGTGAACGCTCCCCAAATTCTTAGTGATTCATTTCATGAAATGATACATAGAGATGTGTACGAGGAGGGAAAATTAAGGGCCTTATACACTTACGGAACGGAGACGTCCAAATTCTACTCACTAGCGGGCCGAGTTTAATAAGGTAAACGGGGAAAAGGGTCAACAAACCTCATGGTATTCTATAGGATAAAAACCACAGAAGATCTCGCAGTTACTGCCTGCATCGCACTGGATCATCCCGCACAGTCATGTTACCGACCGGCTAAGTGCAAATTCTGGCAGCGGCCAAACCAGGCCAGCCAGCTCTCTTCACTTATGATCGATAAAGCTGTCATTCAAGAATGTCAGTTACTCGTGATTAGGTAACGCACATGGAGCAACTGACTAAAGTGCATTTATCGCACGTACTGTCGGCGTCGTCATTTCTTGTCGCCTTATCTACACCTCTCGGACACGTGAATTGATGCTCAGAAGCGACCTTTTGGATTCTGTCCAACACCATTCAGTAGCCCCTTGTCACCTCCAACCTTCTTAGGCATTCAAGCACAACACTCATCGTGGTCTCTAGTACTATAGTTTGACAAGACTTCTTCGTTTACGATTGGACAGCCATCGAGGCGGTCAAGCTACTCAGATGCGGTCTTCTCGTCGCCGCAAACAATGTTAATCCATCCTCGGTCTTTTCCCGTTCTCCAGCATTCCCATACTGTTGTAACCACCAAATTCTATGTACAAGCGGAGATGATGGACCCCTCTCAGGCTCCATCTTTTTTTATAAAGCTACCGACAGTGGGGTAAAGAGGAATCATCCGAATCCCTCATCTCTCACTACGGTCTAGCAGTACAAAACGGACCAAAGTCACTCATTTCCCTAAGTAATGTCACCTGGCAATCTTCATCACCGTGACTTGATCGTACATACTCATCTCGGTCATGGTCATCTGAGCGATAAGGCCTTTCATGGTGAAGCTAGGATGTATTATGCTCGTCTCCGAAGTAACATAGGCTCATCTATTTCATTAAACACGGCACCACCCTGTCTTCCCCCTTGCCCTCCCTCGTCCCCTGCTTCCGTGCCTTTGCACACTCCATTCCCTTGTACACCTCGTCCAGTCCGCACTATAGCATTGTACCTAATCTTTTCTCGGATCATAGTCCTGATTCGAGTTTGTATAACCTACCAATCACCCATATTATTCCCACATATCGCGCATTTGTGCAGC